CCATCCCTGTGCCTCCAGCCTCGCCCAGCAAGGACGATGGGGTGGCGGGTAAGGTGCTCTCTTACCATCAGGCCTCTGTAGTTTTACTCTCATGTCCTTAATCAGCTAGTTCTCCCACAAGCCGACAACACCTGAGAGGGTAGGACCCTGTCTGAGGTGCTCGTTCTTACGCTACTGGGCACAGGTGTTCCATGAATATCATCGGGCCCCAACCCTGCCCCAAGTATCACTCTGGGCACTGGGGTTGGGTTCAGTCGTGAATGAAGAAGACGAAGTCCTGCTCTCAGGGGCAGTTCGCAAACAGTTGCTTGGAACATGCTGGGGGCGGGTGCGTGCTCTAGGGGAAAACAGAACCCTGGGAAGGACAGAATAGGTGACGAGGTGAGAAAGTGCTATTTTTTTTTCAATTTTTAATGTTTTATTTATTTTTTGAGGCGGGGAGGGATAGGGAGAGAGGGAGACACAGAATCTGAAGCAGGCTCCAGGCTTTGAGCTGTCAGCACAAAGCCCAATGCAGGGCTTGAACCCATAAACTGTGAGATCATGACCTGAGCTGAAGTCAGATGCTTAACTGACTGAGCCACCCAGGTGCCCCAGAAAGTGCTCTTTTTAAAAAAATTTTTTTAAAAGTTTTATCTATCTACCTATCTATCTATCTATCTATCTATCTATCTATCTATCTATCATCTATCATCTATCTATTTAGAGAAAGACAGAGAAAGCTCGAGCAGGAGAGTGGCAGGGAGAGAGGGAGAGAGGGAGAGAGAATCCCAAGCAGGCTCCACGATGCCAGTTCAGAGCCAGACGTGGGGCTCGAACCCATGAACTGTGAGATCATGACCTGAGCCAATACCAACAGTCGGATACTCAACCGTCTGAGCCCCCCGGGGCCTCAGGAAAGTGGTCTTTTAGACAGATGGTCAGCAAAAGCCTCTCCTGCCCCCAAGCCTCCCCTGACCTCCAGACCCCTACATCCACCTCCACCTGGACATCCGGCAAACTCTGTCTTTTCCTCATTTTACCCGAAACCCATTCTTTCTGCCATCTTCCTCTCTCTGTAAATGGCAACTGCATTTTCCCACTTGCTCAAGTTAAAAAGCTGACATCGTCCTTCCTGCTTTCAAAACTCCTGTTCAGTCCAGCCATAAACCCCATTGTCTCTACCCTCCAGATGCCCCAAGGCCCACTTTCTTTCCACCTCTTCCACTACTTGGTCCCAGTACCCACCCCCCACTGCCCACTTGGATGTTGTCTTTGCTCTTCACCTGGTTCTCTGTTCTGTTCTTGCACCTTCCAGAGTCAATTCCTCAGTACAGCAGCCTGCACCCTTAAGTCTGAGCACACCCTCCCCTGGCCTTCATTTCACTCAGACCGAAAGTGTAGGGGCCCCGAGGCACCTCCCTTCTCCTCTCATTTCCCATCTGCCCTCCCTGCTCACTCTGTCAGCCACTCTGGCCTCCTTGCTGGTCCCAAAACATACCGAACACACTCTTGCATGAAGAGCACTTTTCTCAGCGGTCTCGCATTTGCTCCAGGCTCAGAGATGGTCTTGCTGGAGAGGCCTTCCCATGATGATAAAATAGCAACCCTCCCTCTCATCCAGCTTATTCTTTATCTTTGTAGCACCCCCACCCCTGGCCATACTCTATATCCATCATGTCTATTTCATTTTCTCCTTTTCCCTTTCACCCCCAACTGGAGTATAAACTCTGGGGAGGTATTAAGCATTCTCTTCTTGTTCCCGTTTTGCAAATAAAGAAACTGAAGTTTAGGGAGATGGAGGAAATTGCCCAAGAGGGTAGGAAAGGGACAGGTAGAGAGACTGGTACCCACACTGGTCTGACCCCAAAGACCATGGGCTTTTTGTTTGTTTAAAGTTTATTTGGTTATTTTGAGAAAGAGAACAAGCAGAGGAGGAGCAGAGAGAGAGGGAGAGAGACAGAATCCTAAGGAGGCTCCACGTTGTCAGTGGGGCTCGAACTCATGAACTATAAGATCCTGACCTGAGCTGAAACCAAGAGACAGACGCTTAACCGACTGAGCCACCTGGGCGCCCCCAAGACCATGGTCTTTATGGTTACAACTCTCCTGCCTTTCTGCCACAAGCTTATTGAAGACATGGTTGGGGAGCCTTCCTCGGGTGGGCACCAGAGCCTGGGAGTGCTCAGGTGGTCACGAGGCTTTCAGGGGTCAGTAAGCAGTCACCCAGGTGGGGAGATGGGAGAAAAGGAGAAACAACTGGAAGGGGCCAGAGTGCATAGGGTCTTGGAACCCAGAACAAAGAAAGAGTGTGGATTTTATGCGATGCTTATCACAGATTTCTGAGTGGGAAAGTGATATACAGAAGGTTTGTTTTTTTTTAATGTGTATTTATTTTGAGGGAGAGAGAGTGTGTGAGCAGAGGAAGGGCAGAGAGAGAAGGAGAGCGAGAATCCTAAGCAGGCTCTGCACTGTCAGCACAGAGCCCGACACGGGGCTTGAACCCACGAACCCAAGCACTGTGAGATCATGACCTGAGCCAGAATCAGGAGTTGGACACTTAACCAACTGAGCCTCCCAGGCAGCCCCTAGGGCCATACTTCTAACAAATGGCAAAGGTGTGCAACTTCCCAGGCACGGCTGCCTGCACCTTGCTCAGGGCACACTGTTTTCTGCCCACGTTTGTGGGTTTCCAAGCCGTCTGTCCGGAATCCTCTTCCAGCAGTGCTACCTCAAGGCTCCCACACACCCTTCAGCCTGAGCTCCTCCACTGCTCTGTCTCAGCCTGGACCCCTTGCCGTGTTTCTCAGAGCTCTTCGTCTTCCCCTGTCTCTCATCTGTCTTTCGCCCTACTGTGCATCGGCATCATGGATGAAATCCATTCGGCTCTCTTGACCACATGGCTAGCTTTCTGCTGGTCTTGACCTCTCATTTCTGACTGATGCCTGGCCCCACAGGCTTCTTATCCACCAGGTGCTCCCACCTCAGTCCTAGGGGTGTTTTCTTTGCCCCTTGCGCCACCAGTGCTGCGAAATTAGCAATAGTTGTAGCTCTATCCAGGGACATCCTGCTACCCGCTAGTCATGACCTCGTTGAGGCAGGCGGATCCTAGCTTTCTATTGTTCTATTGTTCTCCTCTTCTCCAAATCAGAAATCAAGGGTTTTGTTTATATTTCACTTTGGACCAATGCAAACTCCAAAAGTCTTTTCTCGCCTTGTAAAACCCCTTCGTCACTGTGTGTTTATCTATGTAATATACTAGTGCCTACTATTTGAATATTTATAACAGTACATACTGTTTAAAATACTTCTACACCCTTTTTTGATTTCATCCTCACATCACTCCCATGGTGATCATAAATAGTATTTTCCTCATTTTAGGAATAAGGAAAGAATTGACTTTTTGGTAAGAGTCTTATTATTGGCCAACCCCTCTGACACTTTTTCCCTTGATTTAAAAATAACTATTTAAGGGGGACTTGAGTGGCTCAGTCGGTTATGCTTCTGACTCTTGATTTTGGTCAGGTCATGACCTCACAGTTCAGGGGACTGAGCCCATGTCAGGCTCTGCCATGACAGCCCCAAGCCTGCTTGGGATTCTCTCTCTCCCTGTCTCTGCCCCTCTCCCACTTGACCGTGTGTGCTCTCTTTCTCTCTCTCTTTCTCTCCCCAAATAAATACATAATCTTAAAAAAATAACTATTTAAATATTCAATAGTTGTGCTATGGACTGAATTGTGTCTCCACACAATTTATATGTTGAAGCCCTAACGCCCACTGTGACTATTTGGGGAGAGGGCCTCTGAGGAGGTAATAAAAGTTAGACGGAGTCACACAGTGGGACCCTGATATGATAGAATTGATGTCGTTACAAGCAGGGACACCCAAGTGAGCACACAGGGAGATGGCAGCCACCTATAAGGCAGGCAGAGAGGTCTCACTGGAAACCCACTGCTCTGTCACCTTGATCTTCAACTTCCAGCTTCCAGAATTATGAGAACATGGATGTCACTTGTTTGAACCACCCGGTCTATGGTATTTTGTTATGTTAGCCAGAGCTAAGACAAGTTGTAATCTTTCATAAAGAATACTTTTGAGCAGTCAGATAAAGAAGTAACTATATGGGGTAAAGTTTGGTTCTGTTTTACTAATTTGTAACAGTCCTATGATATCATCGCTCTTTGACGGGAACCACATTTTTCTTAAGGTTGGACTTGGGATGAGCTTGTTTCCAAAGCCTTCTGGTTTCCAATAGTTACTTTATGCCCCAGCCCTGCTGTAGGGAAACGGGGTGACAATTGTGTAATGATTGCTTAACAACTGAAAAGTGTAACACACCTTTTTCTCTTGTCTAATCCACTTTTCATGAAAAGCAACAAGTAAAGGGTGATCCTTTTTCCTACAATGAGCGGATAACTAATGATTGTCCATGATAGTGGAGGTTCTTGGAAGGGGGAATTCAAGCCACACTTTTTGGATTTGCACTTTTTGGATTTGGATGGCTTCCTAACCATTTCACCCTACCTTGAATTTCTACAAATTTGATCACCTGTAATATTTTTAAAAAATGTTTCTTTATTGATTTTGAGAGAGAGAGAAAGAAAGAGAGAAAATGCAGGGGACAGGTAGAGAGAGGGAGAGAGAGAATCCCAAGCAGCTTCCCTGCTATCAGCAGAGAGCCCGACGCGGGGCTCGATCTCATGAACCACAAGCGAGATCATGACCTGAGCTGAAATCAAGAGTCGGTGCTTAACCAACTGAGCCACCGAGGTGCCCTCACCTGTGCCATTTTTATTTCAAGTAACACTTCCAAACATATATGCTTAGAGAAGTACGTCCTGAAACTATGTGTCCTGTCTCCTAGACAGATGCTAACCTAGGAGAGTACCCACAGAGTTGGGGTGCAGTGGGGGAGGGGTGGTAGCCATGTATGAGAAACATTACCCATTAAAAATCCCATATTGCTCTGCTGATTACAATAGGCAATAAACACTGGCTGAACTGAACTCGGGGACACTTACTCCTGGGGCCTCGACGGGTGGTCATGCTCAGGGGGCGAGTGTCAGAATCTTCCTGCAGGGGCTCCGGCTGGTTGCCTAGGTGGGGATTTTCAGACACCATTTCCTCGGGGCCAGCGGCGGGCAGCTGTGGGCAGAGGGGCAGAGGTTGTTACCCCCAGGGCTTGGGTTGACACAGATCCTATCTGGGGATGATGTGGGTCACTCAGCGAGGGGACAGGCCTTAGTACTATTCATATCTAGATAACCGTGGTGCTGTCACCTGTCAGAAAAGGGGTGCCAACCTTGAGTTCGTCTAAGAGGATTCTCGTTAAATTACTGAGGCATCCCCAAATAAAATAAATACTTCCACTATTTCTATGAATAATGTGCAGACCTTTGCAGAAATTGGGTGGAAAGGGGGAGCAGGAAAGCCACGGCCAAAACTATGTGATCCCAACTCCAAATCTTTTGGAAACAGCCGCAAAAGTGTCCCCGGGGAATTCAGGGCAAAGGACAGCCTGTGGCTCCTTCCCCAGGCTGTCAGAGGACAGGCCGGTGAGCAGAGATGACAGTGGAGGCCAAGGATGAGCGATGGCCTTTGGGGCCAGACAAAGGCTTGCCTCTGAACTCAGATGAACTGAGGGACTCGGGGCAAGTTATTTAACTTCCTCGCTTCCTTCCTTCTTCATCTGTAGAACAAGGGAGTTGAAGACAGCGGGTGCACCGAGATGCTACTTTGTATCGGCCACGGGGCAAAGCACGGGCATTGTGATTCAAATAAACGGCCTGGGGTGGACCCCAGGCACCGACTGGAAAAAAAAAAAAATCTCCCAAATTCCATTCTGAGGTGCCGCTGGGGTTAAGCGACAGTACTCTGGATTTCTTCCAACACCCCCCAAACCTCTCCTGCTCCAAGGTCTGCAGTCTGGGCTCCTGCGCGGGTTACATCCAGGAGCCGGTGCCTAGGAGGGCAGTGCCAGGTACCATGCTCCCCCCTCCCCGTCCCTGCCTCTCTCTCCTGTGCCTGTGGCCCAGTAGCGAAGGACGTGTACCCGTCCCGGCGGTACTCTCGGTCGCCTGCCCTGGCTGCAGAGCCCCTGGGGGACCCTGCAAGAAGGGGTCAAAGCTCCCTGAGTGGCCAGAGAGGCTGGCCACGTGGCTGGCCGCCCCCCTCCTCCCCCGGCTGCTCCATCCGAGCTGCGCAAGCAGAGGCCGCCCCTCGGCCCAGCTGGCCCCACCGGAGTGCGGTGGGGCACAGAGAGGGGGTTTGTCCCCCGACTGCGGCTACCTCGGTGCCTTCCCCGCGTCCACATCTCCTCACGTCCCAGCCACCCTCTCCAGGCAGCCCCATCACGTGGGTGCTGGCTCAAAATGGCGCTCCCTTCCTTCCCTCCCCTGCTGGCATCTCGATGCTTCCAAGCAAGTTGCCCCTCCAAAGAGATCTTCCCTGCCTCTCCTCAGAGGACAGGGGCTCCTGGCCGGTGGGGTGGGGGGGTGGTTATTTACCTTGAGAAGGCTGGCCTTGCAGGGGGATGCTCTCAGCCGAGGAGGGTCACTTCTGAGGAGAGCTGGAGGGGGGGGGTGGGGGGGGGGGGGCGGGCGCTCTGGTTTAGACCGAAGCTGAGCTCGGGCTTGGAATTGGAGAAAGGGGGAGCGCCCCATGATTAGTAATCCTGCACTGCCATCTATCGCCGGCCTCAGTTCATGGCCTTTGAGGACAACAGTAAAAAGCCTCCGTCCCTCTTTTCTGGGTTTCTCTCAGGAGACGGGAGAAACCTCAGAGGGAAAATGCCCGGGGTACTGACCACAGCGTCCCTGTGAGGGTCACCCCTAAGGCCCCACACAGGTCCCACACCCTGCACCTTCCTCCTGCACCCTTGTCTTTTCCAGGGTGCCCCGGGGAGGATGTGTGGTCCCCTGAGGGTGCCCACACCTTGTCAGTTGGCAGGCCGATGCACAGGCAGACACAGGGTCCCCAGCACCACATACCGGTTTCTTCCTTTTCTGTCTTGCCATCTTTGAGGTCTTCTTCTGGCCTCCCACACCTGCATCCTCATCATTTTCATCGAACTCCTTTGTAAAAATGTAAATGGAAGACTGGTCACTGAGTCTGTGTGTCAGCTGGGGAATGGCGGTAAGAGAGGAAGAGGGGTGCATTTTACGTATTCAAATTAAAATCACCATCCTGCCCCCACCCCTAAAGTTGAGTATGGGCGAAGGGACAGTTGACATGGTCTAAGCAGCTACCAGCCTTTACTCTTCTCAAAGCAGACATGGTCTTGAAAAGTTGTATCCAAATGGAAACATCATAGATGAGATGATCTTGGAGCCTCCATCGTTCACCCCTACAACATCCGCAGTGCTTCTGGCCCTGGGGACACACAGATTCTTGCTGCCTTCAAAACTCACAATCTAATGAAGGCCCAAAACAAGGGACCCTGCCAGGACAGCTGGTCTGGCCAGAGAGAGGACCCCAGCACGGGATGACATGGGAATCAAACCAGGGGTTTCAAGGGCCGGGTTCCTCTGCCCCCAGCCTCAGTCTCAGGTACAGAATAATAAGGATATATGTTAAATCGTCACAAAGTCTCAATTCAAAGACAACGTTCGTGGGTTGTCTTGAAAACAGAAATTCTTTCACAGTGCAAACTTTGTCTTTTTCTTTTTCCTCCTGACGCTTTCTAAAGTTTTAGTGAGAAGATGTTAGAGCTGAATGCTCTCAAGTGTTCAAGCTGCAAACTTCTCTGGTCCTAGACCTCTGCAAACTGGGGCACCACCTCTGGGCGTAGAAGAATTGCAAGGTAAACCTGGAACCTCTCCCTGTTACACCGAGTTCATTAGAAAGGTGTTCAAAGTGAAATTGGGATTTTATTTTTTTAATACTGAAATAAACTTGGAACACAAAGGATGGGTTTTAATGATAAGATTTAAGATTTCAAAGAAATGTCAAGCAGGTTGCTGAGTCAGCCTCCAACTGCACATCCTGCCCTTGGCCGTGGAGGTTAGAGAAGATGAGAACTTTGGTGGGTGGAGGGAACCCACGTTCTGACCGGCCAATGGGCATAGCTTGGGCTTGTTTTTTGTCCAAGGGACCTGAGATCTCTGATTCATCCTCTGGGTGAAAGCCCCATCCTCACTGGGCCTCCTGATTCAGGGTCCCCAGGTAGGGAGTATTCTTAGCTTAGGGGTTCACCAACTTAGATTATAAAATGTTGCTAACATTGAGGTGTGCAAGTGTGGTCCTTAGTTCATGTCTAAGTTCTCACTGGCTAGAATGGATTTGTGAGGAAATCTAGGCCTTTTTAATTGCTTTATTTTGTTTTGTTTTGTTTTAGTTTATTTTGCTTTCCAATAATGTTTTGAGTCTCTATCAGTGGAAAACTGTCCAGTAGGACCTCAAATTAGATAGAACGGAAACTCCCTGAGGGCACAGGGTTTTTGTTTTGCTGCGGTATCCCCAGGGACCAGCGACACAATAAATATTCGTTGCGTGAATAAGAGGATGTAGATTTATGTGGTTTGAAGGTACTTGATATCTTGCTTAAAGTTAACCTGTGTGGTTGTAGCTGGGTAATGTGGTTCCTTCAGGCTTTAGAAAATAGCGTGTCTTCTCCGTTTCAGCCTCTATGGTCTCAAGTCAGCGGGCCCTGCAGACAGGAGAGAAGCTGGGGTTGAGGGACTTTCTGCTCCGTTCTGAGGTCTGTGGTCTCCAAGTAGGAGACGGGCTCCCTTCTCTGTTGTAGGTAGTGTTTAATGATGGTTTGTACACGATGAGTTAGAAATGGAAGGACTCCACGAGACAGGATTTTACTGGTGGTTATGGTCTACAACTGGTTCCTTCAGCCTGAAGGTTTTCTACAAATCAGTGTGCTGCCGCAGAGCTGACTCAGTAGCAGGTGGTCACTCCGAACAGCTGTGTGTCACGAAATGGTGACCGGGCAGCTTCAGAGCATTCGTGTAGAGGTGAGCCCCTGGAATGTCTGCAGGGACGCATTTCTTATGCCATCAGGACCCGTCTCCACCGCGTGCCTGACATAGCGCCCTCTGCATTCAGTAGGCGTGCAATAAAGGCCTGTTGCTGGCCTAACTTCCTCCCTCACAAAGACGTGTGACTTAAGTGCAGTGCACACACAGCCACACCTTCAGGGGACATCTAAGCAACCGCTTACCTCTGTGATTATTTTCACTTTTTCTTCCTTGGGATTCATTTTGGCTGCAGTGTCTGCTCCTGGACAGGGAATCAAAACAAAACAAAACAAAGAAGTCAGGCCTTTGAAAATCAGTGAAACATCTTTCTTACTACCGATGTCTATGAGGCTGACCTCCGTGTTAGAGCAGACGGTCCATTCCCAAGGAATATGTGCTTGCAGACCCAGATTGGTGGAAACGAGCCCCAGAGGAAAAGGAAGGATGCCAGACCTTTCTGGCCCCGTGGGCCTGGCAATGAGCCCAGCAATGAACCTGGTGCCACTGGGCAGCAGGTGGGAGTGAGGAAATTCTGCCCTTGGAGTCAGAGGAGTCCAGTTCATAGCCCCTCCTCTCCCCTCAAACCTCCACCTTCCCACCCCCTCCTCACTCTCTCCCCTTGACCTTGGTTCTCATTTCACTGAACAGAGAGATGGGGGGGGGGTGGCGGTGGGGGGGGGTCCATCCCCTGCCCCTCCCCCACCCGCAGAGTCAGGCTACATCTTCTGCCTCCACTTGTACCCTGCCTGCCTCTGCTCCCATCTAGGCTGGGACCTCAGCCAGTGCACTAGGCCCCAGCACATTCCTCCTCCACGACCTTGAGCTGACAATTTCCCCTTTCCCCTGGATAATCACTTCTTCCTGCTCTATTGGCTCATTTCCTTCCATGAACAAAGTGCTGTGATTGGCCCCTTCTTTAAAAGGGCTGTCTCTGGACTCCACTTCTCTTTCTAGCTAGTGTTCAATTTTTCAACCTTCTACAGGAAAGTTCCTCACACCTTCTCTTCCTGGATAGGTTTGCTGGGCCCAGCAGCCCCTGAACCTGCTCCTGTCAGGGTCCCAGTGACTCTGCGTCACCACATCGAATGATCATTCCTCAGTGCTCATCTTATTTGACTCTCAGTGGGTCAGTAATGAAAGTGACCCATCACCTGATTTTTCCTGAAACGGTTTCTTCACTTGGCTTCTGGGATATGTTCTTTCTTGGTTTATCATCTCTCCCCCCTCTCAGACTCCTAAGCTGGTCTGTCTCCATCTTCTTAATCACCACACGGTGGGGTCTGCGTTGCCCCTACCCATCCCATTGGTGGTCCTACCCCGTCGCTTGGCTTTAAATGCCATCCGTCTGCTGGTACCCCCCACACTTGCACTCAGGGCCTGCACACCTCCCCAGAGCTCCAGACTCAAATATCCAGGTGCTTGATGGGTACCTTCACTTGGCTTAACATGCCCCAGATGAAGCTCCTTGTCATCGCCCCCTGATCTGCTTGTCCTGCAACCTTCCTTGTTGCAATAAACAGAACTCATTTGTCTGGGGCCAGAAACCTCAGACATACGCCATATTGTGTCATTCCTGACTCCGCTCTGCCTTTCACATGACACACGACGTGCAATCCATGGAAATCCTGCCGGCTTTGCCTTCAAATTATATGGAGAATCCAACCTCCTCTATGCACTTCCACTGTTATCACCCAGTCAGGCACCATTGTCTCTCGCATGGCTTCTTGCAAGACCCTCCTAACTTCTCTGCTTCTCACCTTGCTCACCCACAGGTTGTTCTTTACACTGAAGAGAGTGAATTGTTTAAAATTCAAGCGCAGTCATGTCTTTCTGCACTCAAAATCCAATGACTTCTTTTTCCCAACAGAGTAAAATCTGAAACCCTTTCCATTGCTTACAAGGCGCTCCATGATCTGCACTTAAATCCTCTGGTCTCAGGGCCTTTGCACTTGCTGTTCCCTCTGCCGGGACCTCTCTTGCCCAAGATAACTGCAAGGCTGTTTCTTTTAATTCCTTGAAGGCCCTACAGAGACCCTTCAGAGAAGTCTTCCCAGAACACTCATAGTACAATGGTAATCTGCTTCCCTCACCTTCCTGGTATTCTCTAACTATCTCATGATGATTTCTTTTTCCATAGTACTTGTCACCAGCCGACATATATACTTATTTGCTATTGTCTGCCCATCCCTGTTAGAATATAAGCTATAAGAGGGCAGGGACATTTGCTCATTGTTTACCTCCAGAGCCTAGGAGACATTCAAAAAATGTGTTTCAAATGAATGACTAAATCAGTACTTATTGGCTGTGTCTTCCATGTCCCCATTCTGGAGCCCTTTAAATCTTCATTGTCCTCTCTGGGCTGCTGAGAAGATCAAAGGAGAGAGGGCGTGGGGAGAAACACCAGGGCTGACAAGTTGTAAGCCCTTCCTAATATCCTGGAATCTGAATCTCAGCTAGGCCTTGTCATTTAAGCAGCTCATCTGAGGTGTTCAAGGTTGCAGTGACCCTGATGGGGAATTAGCATATTAAAGGGAAACAAAGCATCTGGAAATCTGTTGTCTCCTCCCCAGACCTCCTCACAGGCTACCAGAAATGGAGGAAGGAAACTGATGTCAGCAGTTCAGAAAATAAAAGGACGAGGAGGTGATCTAGAAGGAATGAGGGGCAGGGAATGAGACTGAAATGCCCAAGGACACGAAAACTCTCTAGTAAACAACCCCGGTAATTATGAGCTGGGAAAAAAAAAAAAAGAACTGATGTATTTTAGGAAAGAAAGGTTCTTCCTCAATAAGTAAAAAAAAAAAAAAAAAAAGTCATATATGAAGTAAATAGAAGTAAGAATGAAAAATGTAACAGAGTTGATTTTTTTCTCCTCATTCTTTCCTGATCATTACCTTTGAATGAGTTTCTAAGGAAATCAAATGACATCAAAATTTATTTTTTCATGAGCACAGTTCCTAAAAGAAGATAAATCAATACTGTTCGACTTTAATATGTAGCTTGTCATCACCAAATGCATTGAGCACTTGTTAATATATTCCTATTGGCAACATCCAAATAAGAGCCATGATTTACCGCAGACTTATTTTGTGCTATGTCTAGATGCAAGGTACCACCAGACCTTACAACAACACTTCTAGTTCAGTTCCTCGTGCCTCAATTCACCTCTGAGGGACCAAGGTTTCCTCTGAGGTTAACCTCCGGCAGGATACACGATTTGTCCAAGGTTATAGTTATTAAATGTCACATTCAAAATTTGACCCCAAGACTTGGTGATTCCACAGTCTTCCCCATGCCCCTCTACCTCTCTGTCTCGCCATTGATCCCTGTTTTGTGATCATATCAGGAACCAATCTATGCTAGTTCAGTCTTCTGGAAATATGTACTATTGAAAGCTGTGGAGTATTGCCCCAGTGAGACAGGGCTGTGGCTACTTTAGGTCAATGATTTATCTAACTTCGTGCAGAAAACCAAAGACAGTTTTCTAGGAAGGTACTGCTGAGACCTTTGTCCAAACAAATGGACTGTCTCTGAGGGTGCTGAGTGCATCAGAGCCCTATCCAGAGGACCCTGTGACAAGTTCTACAGGATGTAGGCAAAAGGATGAAGGTGTGTCATAAGAGATGCACTGCATCTGACCTTGGGCTGCTTGAAAAAAATTAACAACGTGAGTGTCCTATTCCAAAACAGTGCAAACACGGGTGTATAGAAATAGTGAGACCTTTGTGAAAAATTAAATGAACCTGGGTCCCAATTCCAGCTCTACTTGTCAGCTGTGTGATCTTGGGCAAATGCCTTCGCCTCTCTGAAATACATTTCTTCACCTGTAAATTTGCAAAATTCCTACCTCCAAGATTACCGTATAAGGGCTAAATGATAGACTGTATGGTAAAATGCCTAGCACGGACCAGGCTCTCGATATCGGTATGGTTTTTAAGAAAAGGTGATGCTAGAGAAGGAAAGTAGAAAAAGGAGTGGGGATGGAAAAAGAGCTTAGGGGACAGAAGAGGAATCACAAGAAAGACCTGAGGTGACATTGAAGTCCCCCATTACCATTTGTGGTTCCCACCTTCAACCTCCTGGCTCCAAAACCCCTCTTTCCCTTCCCCCAGCTGGGCCCAGGGGAGTTTCCTTTCTGTTTCCATTTGTGGTGCTTCTGAAGCCCTCCCCTGCCCTCACGCCCATGGGTATTTCCTCCCTGCGTATGGTGCTTAGCTTTTTCTGCCCTACCCTATTAGGGTTGGAGCCTGGACCCCTGGCAGGTGCCACACTCACTGCTTCTAAATTCATTATCTGAGTCTACAAAGCATTCCAGCCACAGCTTCCCTTTGTCTGAGGTTGGTGACAGATAGCTTTATGGAATCATTCAATCGGCTCGATGTAACACATGTCACCCTGGCAGAGTGCATATAAATGCCACACTTGAGCTGCGCTCTGTGGTATATGCCCATTGCGTTCACGTGATGAACTAAGTGATCCCAGGCCCTTTCTGGGAGTCATCTGTTGTGTTTCAAGCACGTTCGACACTTTTATAAATATCTTACGGTACTTAGCTCCTTGTACTGCTAGCCTCCGTTTATAGGGCTGTCTTCTGCACAGACTCTGCTTCTGAGCTGGTCTAATGCATTTCTGCTTGCTCTGAACTTCAGCCCATTGCTTGGCACCTTGTTCATGCTCGATAAACGTGTGAGCGAATGACTCTACACGAGCTCTAAGAGACAGATTTCATTCTGGAGCCGAATTTATTTGCAGAAGAGGTTATGTGAAAATCCAATAACAGGCGTGCACTTCCCACGAGACCTTATTAGCTTTTCATAGCGCCTCTTTGCAACGGAGGCAAACTGTAAGTGTAAATACCAGCCCGCAGATTTTCTTGTGGTCTCTTGGAGCAGTGATCCTCATCCCTTTGTCTGTAATGGCTCTTCCTCTGCCTAATGCCCAGAAAAACGAAGCCTGAAATGAGTGGCACTTTGCCCCTTGGACCAACGTGAACTGAGACACTCAGAGACGCAACCCGCAGCAAATGTTTCTGGGAGACAGGAATGCGACAGGATGGCAGGAAAGTCCCAGGACGGAAGCCGAGCAACCCTGTGGGAGGGATTCCACCCAGCGGCCCTGAGAGCCAGACATCAGACAGCCGCTCAAATCAAAGCAGCCCAACTGACGCTCTATGATTTCAATTCCAGAAAGTAAAACGTAAATCTCAGTGGGTTCTCAACCCCTACACTCGCAATTCATGAAATCGGCTAAGGGGGGACTGAGGGGTTGAGCTCCAAAACGGGGTCACGAGGGCAGGACGCCCTTACTGCAGCCCTGCTCCCCGGGAAGAACTGGTTACCTTAAGCAACTTTACAAAGCGCTTTGCAGATTCCGCTTCCTGGATGAAAGGAAAGTGGGGAGAGACGGAGTCTTGCTGTCGAATCTTCTGAAAGAGTCCAAAGGGAAAGGCTGAACGTTGGGGCGGACCCAGGGCTGCTCCCTGGGAGGCTGAAGCTCTGGGAGCAAAAACACCCGCTTAGCAACATGTTCCTAAGGGAGGTCACTCCGGCTTTTTTTTTTTCTTTTAAAGTGACAGGTGACTTCCAGTAGCAGAGCACGGACCTGCTGGGGGAACAGAGGAGCCCAGCACAGACGGGAACCAGCTGGGGGCAGCTGATCAGAAGTCGGGGGGGGGGGGGGGGGCTTTAGGAAGCACGCCCTCCCTTATGTCATCGGGGTCACTGGGCATTTCTGGCAAGAGACAGGCGATGCTCAGATGCAGGAGGTTTAGAATCACGAAAGGTCACCATGAGTGGGCGGTGCACCTGACTTATTTGCAGCCAAGGTTCTGGGCGGTGCTGCTGGGCAGCGGTGAGTGTTTTCCAGTTAAATGTGGAGGCTGGATGTCCAGGATTAATCTTTGCGTATTTTTGGAATCCTACTAAGATTGCTCAAAGAGGATATAAATGGTATTGGCTTAAAAAAAAAGCAAAGGTCATGGGAGAAGTGGCAAAGCACATGGAAGAGTAATGGAATGGATAGACCAAGGAAAGCCACACTCCAACCTTTCTGGTGTGTGCGTGTGTGTGTGTAAATGTATCCATCTGTGTACCCTGTGTGTGTGTGTGTGTGTGTGTGTGTGTGTGTGTGTGTTTGCATGTGTATCTGTGTGTGGGGGGAGGAGAAATGAGCCCATCCGTTCTACAGAATTCCAGAGAGGGTCAGGACTAGGTTCAGGAGGGTGGGGTTGAATCCTGTCCCTCCAAAAGAAAGTATGTTGGAGCCCTAGCCCCCAGTGCCTCTGAATGTGACCTGATTTGGAGACAGGTCCTTACAGACGCAATCAATTTAAAAAGAGGTCATTAGGGTGGGCCCTAATCCAATATGACTGTGTCTATATAAAAAGGCCCTAATCCAATATAGACTGTGTCTATATAAAAAGGCCCTAATATTAGGGTGGGCCTTAATCCAATATGACTGTGTCCTTATAAAAAGGGGATATTTGGGGACAGAGACAGACATGCACATGGGAAAGATGATGTGAAGACCCAGGGAGAGCAACATCTACAAGCTAAGGGAGGACTGCAGCCCCCAGAAGCTGGGAGAGAGGACTGGAACAGACTCTCCCTCACAGCCCTCAGAAGAAACAGATCCTGCCAATCAATACCTGATTTCCTTTATATTTTATATTATATTATTTTGTTTATTTTTTAACATTTACTTATTTATTTATTTTTGTTGATTTACTTCTTTGAGAGAGAGAGAGAGAGAGAGAGAGAGAGAGAGCAAACATGAGTGGGGGAAGGGCAGAGTGAGGGACAGAGAGAATTCCAAGCAGGCACCACACTGTCAGGGTGCTGAGGGTGACATAGGGCTCGATGTTATGAATTGTGAGGTCACAACCTGAGCCAAAACCAAGAGTCGGATGCTCAGCCAGGTGAGCCACCCGGGCACCCCTGTTTATTTTGTAACACCTGATTTCTTACCTCTAGTCTCCACAATAGTGAGATGATGCATTTCACACCGTGTATGTGGTACTTTGTGATGGCCTCCCCTGCAAACAAATCTAGTCAGATACCAAGGCAAGTGGGGCTGAAAATTCACGAAGATGTGAACAGCTATGCATAGAGGAGTTAGATCCTCAGGACCCTCCCTTACTCCTGGCAGCCTGGAAATATGCTCATCCTCCTTACTCCCCCTTTTCTGTTTCCCCCTCCCCCCCCCCACCTCCAAAGGGGATTGGAAGCTACTCCTCAAGGGAAGTTGAGCCAGAGACACTCTGGCCACAAGTTCCCACGTACAGCAGAAGGTGGGTGTGTCTCAGGGCTGAAAACTGGGCAGGAAATGGAGAGGAGGCAAGGTCCTTTCCTTCTCACAGAACTGAAGTAAACTTTGGCTCTCCTTGTGTCACCTCCAGCAGCACCAATCTAGAAAACATGGAAAATTATTTTCTGGTCACAAAGAACAGACCCCAGATACTGACATTTCTGGATCCTCCAGTGAAAAACTAGCATATTGCCCTTGCAAAAAAGCATTATGGAGAAAATGAGGGGATCTCAGGTTAAGAAATAACACACTTGTAGTTATAGAAAGAGAGAACTGAGAAAATGAGAAGATAGAATTAACAAAGAAATAATAAAAGAAAAACTCTCAGAGGTGAAAGAGTAAATCTTTAGGTTAAAATATACTATCTAGTATCTAATAATGGCACAAGGAGACAACAAAACTCCTCAGTTTGTGCTTCAGTTGTGGTGGGAAAAATATTCTTCAGAGAATTCATAAGTATTGGCTTGCACTATACCGTTTGATTTATTTGGGCTATCTATATTGTTTAGGAGTCTCCTAAGTGAAAAATTTTTAAAGAATTTTTTAAGTTGATTTATTCGTTTAGAGAGAGACAGAGACAGCATGAGTCAGGGAGAGACAGAAAGAGAGGGAGAAGAGAAAGAACCCCAAGTAGGCTCTGTACCGTGAGCACAGAACCTGATGTGGGGCTCAAACTGATGAAACTCCAAGAGCATGACCTGAGCTGAAACCGAGAGTTGGACGCTTAATCTACTGAGCCACCTAGGCACCCCCTACGTCACAAATTTTAAAAGGTAATCTCAAGCTACTGTATCCCATGGGGTACTGGGCAAAGGCAGATACAGAACTTTCCTGGAGGATTATATCTTCAAGTACTTAGTTCAGGAAAGCTGTGGATAAACCTTGTTGAAGATGAGCTCACAATCCAAAGTTAGCCAACACAACAGGAAATAATCACAAGTCTGAAGACAATCAGAGGGCACAATTAGATATGGAAGAGCTTCTGATCATACAACAATCCGATGGAGAATATTAAAAAAGCAATGATCATAGAAGAGTTTATAGGGATGCTTTGAAAATATGAAAGAAGAGTCAGATACTATCAAACAGATGAGGCAAATGTGAAAAAGCATCAGCTAGAGCTTTTAGAAATGATTGATAAAGTCATGATTTTTTAATTTCGTTGTATGTATTTATTATTTATTTTAATTAAAACATTTTTTTTAAATTTTTTTTTTCAACGTTTATTTATTTTTGGGACAGAGAGAGACAAAGCATGAACGGGGGAGGGGCAGAGAGAGAGGGAGACACAGAATCGGAAACAGGCTCCAGGCTCTGAGCCATCAGCCCAGAGCCCGACGCGGGGCTCGAACTCCCGGACCGCGAGATCGTGACCTGGCTGAAGTTGGACGCTTAACCGACTGCGCCACCCAGGCGCCCCTTAAAACATTTTTTTAATGTTTATTTATAATTTAAAGGCAGAGAGAGTCAGAACGTGAGCAAGGGAGGGGCAGAGGGAGAGGGAGACACAGAATTTGAAGCAGGCTTCAGGCTCTGAGCTGTCAGCACAGAGCCCGACGCAGGACTCAAACTCACAAACCGTGAGATCATGACCTGAGCTGAAGTCGGAGGCTTAACCGACTGGGCCACCCAGGCACCTCAATTTTAATTTTTTAAATGTTTATTTATTTGTGAGAGAGAGACAGAGCATGAGCAGGGGAGGAACAGAGAAAGAGAGGGAGACAGAGAATCTGAAGCAGGCTCCAGGCTCTGGGCTGTCAGCAGAGAGCCAGATGTGGGGCTCAAACTCACAAACAGTGAGATCATGACCTGAGCTGAAGTCGCATGCTCAACCAACTGAGCCACCCAGGTGCCCCTCATTTTATTTATTTATTTTTAATATTATTTTTTAATGTTTATTTTTGACAGACAGAGAGAGACAGAGAGTGCGAGCAGGGGAGGTTCAGAGAGAGAGGGAGACACAATCCGAAGCAGGCTCCAGGCTCTGAGCTGTCAGCACAGAGCTGGACGGGCTCGAACTCACGAACCGTGAGATCATGACCTGGGCCGAAGTTGGACACTTAACCACCTGAGCCACCCAGGTGCCCTGAAAGTCATGATTTTTTTTTTTTTTAAAGCAAAGAATGGGTCAAACTACCTGTGACAGAGCTGCAAAGAGAATTAATGGTGTAGAAGAGAGATTTAGAAAATTAAAGTGTGGCATGCGAGATGGAAATTAAAAGAGTAGTTAGGAGACACGGAGGGGCACTGAAGAGGCCCCTGTGTCCCGCGAGCCCCAGGGGGAAAGCAGGGAGGACAGAGGTAAGTGCTGGATCTGAAAAGAGGGATCTTGGTCAACTTCTTTAACCTTTCTAGGTTTCAGTTTCCTCCTCTGTAAAATGAGGTTAATGACAGTAACTGCTCCGGAGGGTTGTTATGAGGCTTTAATAAGTTACTATTTGTCAAATCTTGGCATATGGTAAATTCTGTACATCTTACTAAACACACACAAAAATGTGAATGTTGTTTTAATTAGCTCAGGCTGACTGTTTTCACAAAACACCATAGACTGGATGACTGACACGACAGAGACTTATTTTCTCAGTCTATAATCTGGGAAACCCAAGACCAAGGTGCCACTGGATTAATTTCTGGTGAGAGCTCTCTTCCTGGCTTGTAGATGGGCACCTTGTATCTGTATCTTCCCATGGCTTTTCCTTGGTGCATTCAGATTGACAGAGAGACAACTCTCTTCCTCTTCTTATAAGACCACTGATCCTACCAGATTAGGACCCCATCTTTATGACCTCATTTAACCCTAGTGACCTCCTCAAATCCCTATCTCCAAATACTGTCACATCAAGGATTAGGGCACCAACATGCGAGATCTGGGGGGAGACACAGTTCAGTCCATGTTTATTGTACGAGATGTTTATTGTACGAGATCATCTATTTGAAGTGATCAACTATGATAAGAGATAGGATCTGTTCACCACCCCTGAGCTCATTTACCTTCTGATTGTGACTTCTCTGATATTTTAATATTTGACTAAACTAAACCAGTGCATAAGAATTATATATGTCAGGATGTGCTGAAATTATTAAAAAGCATAATTCGAAAACATCATTTTTTTACAGAGTTTCTTATAGAAGCAAAATAAATGAATATAGCAGATTTGTTTTAAATCAAAATGCAAAAATCTCTTTTAGGTAAAGTGTTCTGAGCTAGCTAGAGTTTTTAATCAAGAACAAATGTTG